TTCGCAGACGCTCTATATAGAAGCTTTAGAGTGTTTGCGACGCAGGCAGCGAAAAGGTGCGTCGATTCTACTCTATGCCCAAGGAACCACAACCGCTCAACTACGAAGCCATTCCTGTTTTTCCTGATAGCTTGGTAATTCTAAATGAAGATAGAATTTTTTATAATTTCAAACGATTAGCAAAATTAAACCCCAAACTTTTCTTACTGCCGGGCATTTAGACCATTCCTAGCCTCCCACGCAGAGCTAAGAACGTCTGCGTGAGAGGCTAGATCATTCCCGGCTCGCCGGGCATATAGCCACAAAACCTCAGTCAAATAATCATCTCGTAAAATAACGCTTTTAACAGCTCGGGACCGCGAAAAAAAATGACAGAGGACTAAGTCAACATTTCACTTGAGCTTCGCTTAAACATTTTGAATCAAATCTGTATTTTGGAGTCATGTTCGTCTTACCCTCTGGGTGCCAGAGGCTTTTCATGTGCGGTTTCCGGTTTCGGCAAAGCCTTTTAAAGCGACCCACGCGAAAAAGCCGACAAAGCTCCTCATCGTAAGGGAGAAAAAACCTTTGGTACTCAGGGTTTATTCACCTGTAGTTCTTCTATTAAGTACATAAGACGGATGCTCAGTTTTCAATAACAACAATGGCCACACGAACAGAGGGTGGTCTGTCTGTGCTGATATCTTGACCGGTCAGAATTCCAAAAGAGCGATGACTGAGCATGAGCAAACATCTGTTTGGCCGGTTAGCACTACCGTCCACTGTCGAAAATCATTTCGAGTCCTGTTTTTTTTATCCATTGTCATGCACGGGGAAATCTTCATGCTGCAGATTAATTTTCTAGGGTAACATAGAAAGGGGAGGGGACACTAACCAGAACGAAAGTCAATTTAACTGCATAGGGAAAAAAGGAAACAGCAAAAATAATTAATTTCCACAAATCTGAGCAAATATCTTACCATCATTAGAATCACAGAGCCTGGATGTAAGCATATTGTGTACATAGGGGTAAATAAATGAGCAACACCTCCAAACCCTATGTCTACTCTATTTCTATAGGTTGAATCCGGCCGTACTGTTTATTGTTCATTTTTCCTTTCGACTTCTTCTTAAAAAAAGTGTCTATGGACCCGGTCCATATAAGTGTGTTTAAAAGACTAGGTTGATCTGCTGATGACACAATTTCTTTCACTGTTCTCACCTCCAAGTCCTGGTAGCTGTGCACTTCTAGTGTTGGTTGACGATTTATCCAGTGTCCAGTTACCTCTTCATCACACCTTGGGACTTCCTGAGTAGGAAATACCTGTTTCAAATTTCCACAGTTTTCTTCGTATTCATCCCCTATTTCCATAATCAACGGTGAAGGAATTACCGTTAACTGCGTAGCCTGCCCCTGAGAGGACATAGTTGTCTCTTCTTTGAGTTTTTCTAAAGTCTGTTCCGGAAATTGAAGTCTCGATGGTGAAGCCTGTACCCTGTACATTGTCTCATATTGTCTTATAAACCTATTTTTCTCTTCTATATCAGGTAGACTCCAAGTTCTGGATGAAGGTTCTGCTTTACAAGAAACAGGTTCAGAGAGGGACCTTGGTCGACATGATGGTCTGTGCCATGAATGAAGGACGCTTTCTTCCACTAGGGCGTTCTTTTCACTCTCTGATTCCTCACACTCGCTGCTAACCTCAGATGTTAAGTCGACTGAGTAGTTATCCAACTGCGAAGAAATCGATAACACGGAAATCGTAGGGTAATTAAAGTCCGGAAATGTACCCCGTGATATGTGAGGCATTAGCCTAAAACAAAACGCTCTGTGAAGAGAAGGTAAGCCAACATTGCTTTCATGCTGCCTCCTAGACTGTCTGTCCATATGAGGAAGTGTTGTGTAACTCCTAGTTTTCCTCAATTGCTCAGCAGTAAAGAAAGTTGTAGATTTCAAAGAGGTGGAGTCACTGAAAGAACGTCTTCTGTGCTTTTGGGGAATAAGACTGAAAAGAAAGTGTAGGCGATATCAGTTCTTCATGGCTAAGAAACGTAATGAGAATACACGAGCGTTTTATGCCAAGGTTCCTCAATAGTCTTAATGTATACCTTCTGAAATGATCTGTGTCGATTAATAATTAGACAGCTCTATGCCAAAATCAGTTTCAATGCAACTGTAATTCTTTTAAAACTTTATCGTTCTGCGGAGATAAATCTCGTTGCGTGTTTGCAAGTGAAACATTCACAACAGCGGTACCGGGAGGTTTCTTTTTTGTGCTCCAAATCAACCTCCACAAGTTGTTAGGAGGAGGCGGTGGAAGAGACAAGGATGCGACCGAGAAACGACGTTCTTACAACTTGCAAAGCGGTCACCTTGCGTGGTGGTCAGCGGGTAATTACAGTGTATTACACAAAGTGAAGAAGCGAACCAGCAGAGGAAATAACTCAATAATTGAAAAAATAATACTATGCCTCTTTCATTTCCTCGTGTATCGTATTTGTACTTTGTTACTGAAATTGCAAAACGCAAGGTACACTCAATGCAAATGCAACCGTGTAAATTATTAACCAAGAACAACGCGCGCTGGACTGTCGATCGAGTTTATAGGCATTTTGCCGGGCGAGGAGAATATTATAGAACTTATGATGCAGATAAAAATTAGTGGAGAACGTGTAAAAGTTATCGGAATTCAGTCTATTGAAGAGAGCGTAATGAACTTACATACCTGAATAAACAGATTCACACTTTATAACAGTAATAACATTTCACTTCGTTTAATGTATAACAATTATTCACCGAAGTAGAGGTGGCTAGTCGTTGTATTTACCGAGCTGCGAAGCAGCGAGGTAAATTTCAACCACTAGCCACCGACACTGAGGTGAATAGTTGTTTTAGTATATACTAGAACAGTGAGACAATTAAGCACAAAAATGATGATTTTTAACTCAAATACTGTTGCCAACGATTACAATTTTGGCGCGTTATGACAGAAAGGCCGCGGCCGTCTCTTTTTCTTGCCGACAAATAAAACTTTTAAAGGCATTTGTTTAGCTCTTGCGGGGAAGTTTCTTCAAAAGGAGTTGTGAATTCTTTTTGTATTTAAAATCATTCTGTAAAAAAAGATTATTAAATTTAGTTTTAAGCTTATTTATGAACAAGTCAACCAAATAAAGTAACGCAAGACTCAAGCTTAATTTGCATTTGTAAACAAAAAACTTTTTCACCAGTTTTATCGACAAATTCGAGTCAAAAAGACAAAGCTTTACCTGTTAAAACTTCCAAACTGAACTTTGTCACCTTCTTCGTGTATTTCGGGAACAGCTTGCTTGATTAATTGTGAAATGTCTTTGTTTGTTACGGCAGCAAACCGAGAAGGCATTTTGCTCGCAACTTACGCGAGTTTGGCGTCGCTCGCTCGGAGGAACTGGAAGTGAATCAATGAATAGTGCAGGATATTCACTGATAGAGTAGCCAATCAGAGCGCGCGAAAAACGCTATCCACTGTTTTAGTATATACTTAATAGACTTAGCCAAGGCTAAAAGCGAAGCGTCCATTTGTAGACTTTAAATGACTTAAAACGAAAAAGGTTCAACCTATTCCAATCCAGAAATTAATACTGATTTAAAAACAAAATCGACTGTAGTAAGAGGGAAAAGAATTCTTACCCATATGTGTGCATTATTGTTCCCCACCCCCTTCACCACATCCCTGTCAGAAGTTTATTGCCCATGAAATTTATTGTTTTCTGCTTGTCATTCACGAAACTCTTTGGCTAGTCCAGTTCACAGTTTATGTTTGTAGGTCAATCTTTCCGTCTCAAAGAGTTTCTACCCAAATGTTAAATTGAGCCGATTTTTGTGTCAGAAAATGTTTTCTTTGCATAATCAGACCGACAAATCGTTAAGTGTAACTACATGTACCCTTTAGATTATGCATCACAATATCTGATACCCAGTAACCTTTACTACAAGTTAGACTTTTTGTTTCCGAAAAGACCCAAGAAGGTTGATTAAACTTATTTAACCTTTCCCCCTAAGTATAACCATTCATTTTGTAGTCTACACAAATTGCCCTTTGCGTGTTGTGTGTTTTTAATAATCCGGCTAAATGTGCACCAGACGTAAACTACAGCAAAGTCACGAGTCTGTCATTAAAATATTAGACAAATCTTATACGTTCTTTCCTTTCGGCGAGAAGGAACAATGAACACAGGCGCAAATCACACGCCACGCTTAAACCATTTTTAGACATTTCATTCACCCTTCATTCAGACGCAGTCCGCGAAAGGTAAAAAAGCTGCATTAAACCTGATTTGCAAAATTATGACTGACAATCAAAACATGAATAAACTTTCAATGAAAGATGTAGAACAACAACATCTTTATTAGTTTAAAATAGATGAACGAGTCTCGAAGCAAGATTTTCGTTAATTATCGTTACTTTTTACCAGCAACCACTACAACTAGGCATTCTCTAAAACCGTTCTCTTTCCATTTGCAACCAGAGGTCATAACCAAATTTTCTGGCATCGAAAGGGTTTCCATTTTCAATCCCTTCCCATGATACCTATGGGGCTCCGCTGCTCGTTGCGCGCGCGGACGCTCAGCTATTACGATCACTTAACACCTCAAATTTCGCAGCTATAATAATAATAGTTTATTATTTATATAGCGCTTATACATCGCTGTTCTAAGCGCTTTACCAGATAAACACTAAAATATATGTATATACATAAAAAAAGCATAAGGTAAAATGGTAAATTATAGACTGTAGCTAAAAGGAACTCTAAACAAAATAACTAAAGATTATATGCATATTTGAAAAGGTATGTTTTCAATTTAGCCTTAAATATATTTACATTGAAAAATGATCACTGGAAGAACGTAGAGTTGGACGATAACATTAGGGATAACCTTAGGGATCATCAAAATATGCAACAAGTCCACAGCGACAAACCAATCAGCATGGTATAGGCGTCTGACCAATGAGCCGCGGACTGTAACTCCTGGAATAGTTTCCATGTCAAGAGCCACCCTATTTTACTTAAAGGCTCGCAATTGCAAGGTAGTGGATTACTTTCACATTGAAGATCGTGCTTCGATTCCTGAACATTATGAAACCTCTGAATACATAATGAAGGCTGGTCACGTCCTAGTTCACTTCGTCGTTTCACTATACTTGCTCCTACCAAGGTGCTTTTTGAGCGTGAATAACCACGGAGAATGTTTACTAACTCAGTATGGAGCAACTGTGGTTGCTGTGGTCTCCCAAGATCGTCTGTGGTCCGAGAAAAGGATGTCTTTAATGGATTCGCCATCGCTGTATTTTGGAAATCTAGCAAACGCTGTTTGCCTTCCTAGCAATGGATGCAATTACTTATTGTTATCCGGATGGCGATTTACGAACTACAGTGCGATAGATTTGCTATCTGTTCGTTTTCCTGACAATGTATGCAATTACCTATTGTTATCAGGTATACGATGTGTTAACTACAGTACCATTGATTTTCCTGATGTTTGTTTGTCTGATGTGCGAAAGTGTCAACAAATGCAGAGCGAGGATAAGAAGACACAGGCGGCCATGTGCCTATTACGCAAATTCGTGGGCGACATTCCATCTCACGTTAAGCGGTGAACTAATTTTCAAGTTGAATCCTGGTCCGGTGGATCGCAGCCAAATACCAACGATAGTGACGATGCGTGTTGACACAAGGCTAGAAAATAGATCGCAACGTAACTCCCGGAACCTTAGGTATGTACAATGTCCTGGACGCCCTTTGTATTTAAGTCCTCGCGGGCTGGGTCCTCTGTCCCTGTGCTTATTAAACGCCAGGTCAGTGGGGAATAAGTCAGCGGTGCTTATGGATTACCTATGCGATTGCAAAGCTGACCTTTATGCAAAACCGGAAATTTGGCTTACGGAGGATGATGCTGCTGTAAGAGCGGAGTTAAACCTGGACGGGTATAATTTCTTAGACCACTCACGGCAGGGTCGGTGTGGTGGTGGAACGGGTCTCATCTTCCGTGACTCCTTGCGTGTTAAGAATGTTGACGCGGGTGAGAAGAGCTCCTTTGAATTCTCTAAGTGGACTGTGACTACGGTCAGTAACTGTATTCGCTTGTTTAAAATCTATCGACCACCATACTCTGATAAACGCAAGGTCCCAACAATTGTCTTCTTTAGGGAATTTTCGGATTTTCTCGAATCAGTTCTTCTGTCTAAAGAGCAAATTTTATTCGCTGGAGACTTTAACATCCACGTCGATAATCCGCGTGACTCTGATGCCATAAAATTTGCAGACCTGCTCGAATCAGTCGGGCTTCAACAACACGTGAAGGGCAGCACCCACAAGGAGAGCCACACCCTCGACCATATAATCACCCGTTGCTCTGAGATCGTTCTATCAGCCCCACCTAAAGTTGACTGGTTTATTTCAGATCATGCGTCAGTCTGCTGCAGGTTGATTCCAGAGAAACCTCCAGCGGTGGAAAAGCTGGTTACTTATAGGAAATATCGATCAATAGACATGGAGTCGTTTAAGAATGACTTGGTGACATCTTCTTTATGTCAAGCACTTTTGACAACGGAAACACCTGTATATGGTGTTGACCAACTTGCAAAGGACTATAATTCCACTTTGCACATGCTGATCGACTGTCATGCTCCACTGAAATCCAAGACTGTGAAGGCACGCCCTTCTGCTCCCTGGTACGCCGCTGAAATAGGGGCTGTTAAACGTCTTCGGAGAAAAGCAGAAGGCGGTGGGGAAAAACTTGCTGACAAGAAGACCTTCATGCTTTTAAAGTGTAAAATCATGATGAATGCTGCAAAAAAGGACTTCTATACTAACTTTATTGCGAACAATAGCACGGATCAAGGGAGGTTATTTAGGGCTGCAAAGAAGCCTCTGGCTAAGAAGGAAGTGCCGTCTTTCCTGGCTATGCGGATAAATCTGTTCTTGCGAATGACATCGGAAATTTTTTTATCCGCAAAATAGAATCCATCCGCTCGGATATTGACAGGGCCGTCAACTCTCGTGCAAAACATGGTCTTACCGGAGGATCCAGAGGTTGGCCCGGAAAAAGCACTGCTTGCCTTCTGTCCTATAAGTGAGAACGAACTCCCGAAGCTTGTTTGACAATCTGCAAAAAAATCTTGTCCACTTGATCCAGCTCCAACGTCGCTTGTGGTCTCCTGTCTCGATGTTCTACTTCCGGTCATTACGCGCATAATTAACTGTTTCCTTACATCTGAGGAATTTCCTGACTGCTGGAAGGAGGCGTTAGTTTCCCCTCTGCTCAAAAAGTCTGGCGTGTTCTCAGAGTTTACTAACTAAAGACCTGTGTCTAATTTGCAGTACGTTTCAAAATTAACGAGACGTGCCTTCTGCGACCAAACGCATGCGCATTTGACATCACATGGCTCATACCCTCCATTCCAGTCAGCGTACCGTAAGTGTCACAGCACTGAGACTACACTTTAAAAGTGCAAAATGACATCCTCATCAACCTGGATTCTCAACGTGTTACCCTTCTTGTGTTACTCGATTTGAGTGCTGCGTTTGACACAGTTGACCATGGAGTGTTATTAGCGGCTTTCAGAACCGAGGACGAGGTGGGTTGGAGACGAGACTGGAAGTGACTTTTCCAATTTCGGAAGAAGAGCGCATGCGCGTGGCGTTTTCTCCCCCTCTCGAGAACGCGGCCTGAAGAGATTTGGCGTCGTCTGGAAAACGTGAGTATTTAGCTTTATTACTTAAAGCAAAACACTATTATTAAAGGGACAGTGTCCCGATTATGCGCACGCGCGAGCGTCATCTGTTTTTTTCTTCAAAAGACAATAGAACTGTTATACAAGATTTCGACAAGATTTCCTTCCGGACAGCACCGCCGACGGAGATTTGTTGTGTATATTCTCAAGTAGTATTTTAGACTTTCGAAGACGTCTTTCGTCTTATTTAAAATTTGGCTCGCGGCATGAAGACCCATCACGATTTTATTGCCAGCAGGACCGCCTCGCCACCCGAAAATCTCGTTCCGCTTGCTTTAAAAACAGATTTTCCAAAAAACTCGTGAAACTCGTGTCAGAGGTCATTTGTTCCAAGTCCAGTAATATCTGCCTGATTTGCTCGCGTTCTAGCCTCAAACGTTTGAAAGACATAATTAAAAATGCAATCTCAACGCTATGAATCATCGCAAAGGTTAGTCAAAAATTATATTTAGTTTTTCTAAACATGTAGCGCCTATTTGTTTGATTTTGACGGCCGTAGGGAGGTTCATTTAAAACTTTACTAACGCGTCATTGCAAAACATTCTGCTTCACGAAGCTCTCCTCCACAGATCTCCTCAGTCACATCAATGTCTCAATGGTTTATTTCTTACAGTCTTTATTGTTGCTGTTTCATTTCTGCGTATTCCTTTCACAATTATCTGAGTTTGTATGGAAGCTAGCAGAAGAAACAAGCCTTCAATCCGCATCAAGGCGCTTCCCATCTTTTGGTCCTCCGGCCAACGGCAATAAAAGTAACCCCAAAAAATGCAGGTTTTGCCCAAATCGAAACTTAACAGGAACAATATATCATTGATCTGTAATCCTGAGAAGTTTTAGTGTAGTATTGAACTCGGCCAAGCGCGATGCAAACGGATTTTTCAAGGTTCTCTTACTTTCCTCGCATGTTTTGATTTCGCGACATCCTGTCCAAAAATCGAAGTTTGGTGCATGCGCAGTAACGGGATACTGTTCCTTTTACAGTCTATTCTGACAATTGGAATTTAAAATTAATTGCCTCTTTAAAGGTTAGGCATCATTTTTGAAACGAAAAGGACCAAAGTTGAGTAGTTTAAAACGTTTTGTTCTCTCCAGGTGAGCACGCACATGGTGAAGTGAATAGCGTCGAGCAGATCTTCAAAGTAAGTCATCTAATTATCCTTGAAATGTTTCCAAAAATCTCATTTTCCTTCACAGTTGAAGGAAAGTATCACTACATTCATGCGGTTATTCTCATGGATGATACAATTTAGTTGCCAGGCGTCTTATCATTCTTCTTGGTCTTTGTTTTGTTTTTGATTAATCCAACGAGCTCCAGTGTGAAATATCAGAATAAAACTTTATCGGTTGTTCCATCAACGGATGATCGATTTTAGCTTCATAAATAATTTAGCTAAGACTATTCTGTTTATCAGTTGAGTCTCTACTAGATCCAGGCGTCCTAATTCAAGATGATCTGAAATTCAATTTCCTGATATTGAGTGTGATTAAAACTCAACTAAACAAAGCTTAGTAAAACTAACTTTCAAAAATCGCCCATTATAAGAGGAAACATAAGTTTAATTAGTTCTTGACCTTGACTACTGTCATAAAGCGTAGCATTTCAAAAGCTAAGACTTTGACAGTTCTGCTATTGTGTTATTTCCATTTTTTTNCATTCTGCTTCACGAAGCTCTCCTCCACAGATCTCCTCAGTCACATCAATGTCTCAATGGTTTATTTCTTACAGTCTTTATTGTTGCTGTTTCATTTCTGCGTATTCCTTTCACAATTATCTGAGTTTGTATGGAAGCTAGCAGAAGAAACAAGCCTTCAATCCGCATCAAGGCGCTTCCCATCTTTTGGTCCTCCGGCCAACGGCAATAAAAGTAACCCCAAAAAATCCAGGTTTTGCCCAAATCGAAACTTAACAGGAACAATATATCATTGATCTGTAATCCTGAGAAGTTTTAGTGTAGTATTGAACTCGGCCAAGCGCGATGCAAACGGATTTTTCAAGGTTCTCTTACTTTCCTCGCATGTTTTGATTTCGCAACATCCTGTCCAAAAATCGAAGTTTGGTGCATGCGCAGTAACGGGATACTGTTCCTTTTACAGTCTATTCTGACAATTGGGATTTAAAATTAATTGCCTCTTTAAAGGTTAGGCATCATTTCTGAAACGAAAAGGACCAAAGTTGAGTAGTTTAAAACGTTTTGTTCTCTCCAGGTGAGCACGCACATGGTGAAGTGAATAGCGTCGAGCAGATCTTCAAAGTAAGTCATCTACTTATCCTTGAAATGTTTCCAAAAATCTCATTTTCCTTCACAGTTGAAGGAAAGTATCACTACATTCATGCGGTTATTCTCATGCATGATACAATTTAGTTGCCAGGCGTCTTATCATTCTTCTTGGTCTTTGTTTTGTTTTTGATTAATCCAACGAGCTCCAATGTGAAATATCAGAATAAAACTTTATCGGTTGTTCCATCAACGGATGACCGATTTTAGCTTCATAAATAATTTAGCTAAGACTATTCTGTTTATCAGTTGAGTCTCTACTAGATCCAGGCGTCCTAATTCAAGATGATCTGAAATTCAATTTCCTGATATTGAGTGTGATTAAAACTCAACTAAACAAAGCTTAGTAAAACTAACTTTCAAAAATCGCCCATTATAAGAGGAAACATAAGTTTAATTAGTTCTTGACCTTGACTACTGTCATAAAGCGTAGCATTTCAAAAGCTAAGACTTTGACAGTTCTGCTATTGTGTTATTTCCATTTTTTTATTTCTTTGAAATTGATACTAATGAGCCATGTTTTAGATAATACTCTGAACTGAAAACAAACCAAGAAAAATTAGAACTAAAAAGAGATTGTATTTGAAG